GGCGGGAGCGCGGCCCGGGTCGCTGGGGAGGCCGGGTCAACGGCCACTGCCATCCTCCTGGCGGGCTGCCGAGTCCCTGGTTCCGAGAGGAAAGGAGGGGGGATGAGGGCCTTGAGTTCCACCGAGTGCGAGAGGGAAGGGAGCGCACAGTGTCTGCTCCGTTACTGCAGATCGCCCTGGCCCTGTTAAAAGATGCCCTGCAGAGACAGCCGAAGAGCAAGAAATGACTTCTGGGCGTGTTCTGCGGCTGAAGTTGTGCCTTCACTGCCTTTCATTTATCCAGCATACTACTTGCTAGGTGTTGAGAGCACATAGTGGAATGAGACGCTAAAATTTGCTTGCAGTCTCCGACTGCTTAAAGCTGGGAAGGTTGTGACCACGGGTTCAAACCTACATTTTACAGATCAGGCAGCTGAGGCTTAGAGTGATTAGTGAGGCGACCTCCCAACGATCGCACAGCTCAGTAGTGTGAGAGCGGGGACTAGGTCGAGGTTTCGTGGCTCTTAGTCCTGCATGTGTTTGGGGTGCCTTTCTGCTGACTTATACTGAACTCTGTAGACTGTAAGCTCCAGGAGAGCCAGGAGTATTTCTATCCGGAAGACTATATGAGTTTAATACCTTACATTCTGTAAATGCTCAATAAAGGTGCTCAAAATATATTCGTGTAATGAATAAATGGTGCTAACAGAAGGGTAATATCCAGGTTCCATTTGTTACGTGGCTGTATAAGATAAAGCAATTTGCAAGAGATATAATGAGTAAATCACACAGTGGATAAGCATCTGTACCAGCACATAATGTATAAGTTGAAATGAGTTTGATCATTTTACATGCAGTCACAAGGATGTTGAAACTACATTGTTTGGGTTTTGAGGAAATTGATACATTTTATATGGCATTATTATGAAGTAACTATAAAGTTATAAAACTATAGGTTTTTATACACTTCAACTCTTGAAACTACACCTCAGTAAACATTTGAAAGAACAGAACCTGGGCTGGGCGCGGTGGCTCACACCTCTAATCCCAGCACTTTGGGAGGCCGAGGCGGGCGGATCACAAGGTCAGGAGATCGAGACCATCCTGGCTAACATGGTGAAACCCTGTTTCTACAAAAAAGTTAGCTGGTCGTGGTGGTGGGCGCCTGTAGTCCCAGCGCCTTAGGAGGCTGGGGCAGGAGAATGGCGTGAACCCGGGAGGCGGAGCTTGCAGGGAGCTGAGATCAGGCCACTGCACTCCAGCCTGTGCAGCAGAGCCGGACTCCGTCTCAAAAAAAAAAAAACCAAAAAAAACCAGAGCCTGGTGAGGTGGCTCGTGCCTGTAATCCCTTCGGGAGGCTGAGGGTGGGGAATCACTTGAAGCCAGGAGTTCAAGACCAGCCTGGGCAACATAGTGAGACCTCATCTGGCGGCCTGCCCCTATAGTCTCAGCTACATGGGAGGCTGAGGCAGGAGGATCACTGGAGGCCAGGAGTTTGAGGCTACAGTGAGACATGATAGCACCACTGCACTTCAGCCTGAGTGACAAAGACCTCAACTCTTTAAAAAATATTGAAGAAACTTGCCAGGTGCGGTGGCTCACGCCTGTAATCCCAGCACTTGGGAGGCTGAGGCGGGTGCATCACCTGAGATCAGGAGTTCGAAACAGCCTGACCAACATGGTGAAACCCTGTCTCTACTGAAAATACAAAAGTTAGCTGGACGTGGTGGCGGCGCCCATAATCCCAGCTACTCAGGAGGCTGAGGCAGGAGAATTGCTAGCACTCGGGAGGCGGCGGTTGCAGTGAGCCGAGATCGCGTCATTGCACTCCAGCCTGGGGGACAGAGGGAGACTCAGCC